GATTAGAACGAGTGACATCAGTTTAGCCGTTTTCCTTAAAAAAAATACACAGTCAGTCAGGCAAACTAGATTTCTCCCCCAAAAACTGGAACAAATTTTTGACTTAAGTGCTCCATGTTTTCTCAGGGTTTTTGTTTTGTTCTCAAAAGAACTCGCCTTGGTTTATTTTCATGGAATATTTTCAGCCTTTGGGAACAAGATAAAATTTTATTTCCTGATTTTTTATTTCTATTTTTCCTTTTCTTAGCCTTCCTCCACATTTTCTTTTTCCATCTCCCCACTCTACTAGAAAAAGTAAGGAAAGGTTAAAAGTGTTTGATAGTAAAAACCTGAACACTTCCAATATTTTTTCTAAGGTGGAAGACATAAGCTGTGAAAAGTAGAGTTTTTCACACTTTCCTTAATCTTACTTATTTCCTTCTTCTCTCAGCTTCTGGCCTGCAGTGTATTGTGGAGGAATTAATAAAATATATGTGCATGAAAAGTTCTCCTGAAGTCATGCCAAGTTGTTTAGAGAAAATCTTCTGTAAATTAAAAACTTCAAAAACTGCTCTCTTGTGAAGCTGTTGTTCAGAATGTTTTCTCAGTATGTGAAAGCACTAAGATGGTACAAATATTTCAGAAACTATCCAGACAGAGAGAATAAAACAGATTTGTCTTTTCTTGAGTATGAAAGGAACAAAGGCACAGAAATGTGACAAACAGCAACCACTTTCTTTTTTTATTATTTTGGCCATTGTAACTAATCTGGGGAAGTAGACTCCATTAACTAGTATCTGTGTTGGAATGAAACAGAATTAGCAAGAACAAAACAAAACTCTCAATTATTTCTGAAATGCAGGCTGATTAGTTTAGATCAAAGCCTGTAGATTATGGCAATCTGTTATATTTAGTAGACTAAATATAACTTTGAAGGCCTGTGTCTTCCTCACTTCCAACCCCCAGTTGATTCTTTGATAATCTGGGGGTTTTCAACAGGAAACTCATGAATCTTATGCAGGCATAAAGAATCAATTTAAAACCCCTGTGCATGGGGGAGTGGGGGGCAGCGTTGTAGTTCACTGAAACACAGCTGATACAGAAGCCAGTCTAAAATCCAAGCTTTCAAGACCTGCAGAAGCATAAGGACAAACAACCATCTCTCCAAAATACAGGAGTCATTAGGAGACAGGTTACCATCAAAAGCCTCTGGCAGAGAACTTTCCTTCTGCCCTGCACACCACAGCAAGCTCTGCATTGTGTCCGACGCAGACTGAACAGAGAGCTGTTAGAGATGAGGCACTCATGGCTGAATTTGAGGAATTACTTGCCACAGGATATCAGAATAACTCCTGGACTAAGATGGGTCATGTTGTACAGCACTATACATTTCCATTATGGACATTATGGATGTAATTGTTTAAAACATTTGCAGGCAGCTACACAAGGAAGAAATGGAAAAGCCACTCAAGTCAGCTACAAACAGTGGAAAAAATTTCACAGGAAGTGCAAAAAGAGTACAATAGTGATGTTACAAAGTAAAACAAGCATTTAAAAGAAATATACCCTGTACTTTTATTAAATGAAGAAGCAAATAGCTTGGTCTAATTACGTGATGCTTGGTGTACGTAGGTCACAGTGGGCTTAACACAGTATTGTTCCCATTAGGAATGGTGTTACAGATGTGCCCAGGAACCCTGAGAATGATCCCATGGCCTGTTTTGGAGAGTGCTGTTCAAACATTCAAGAAGATGGAGTCCCTACCTGGAGGAGATTGTAATTAAAGCATGATTCAAGCACTGGGTGGAACAAACAAATGGAGAATGGGGCACAGTAATGATAGGAAAGTGTAGGTGGATAAACTGGTTATGATGCAGAGCTAGCATGAACAAACACAGCAAGAAGAGGAATATTTTGCACTGATTAAGAGGAATAACTGACTCATACAAAATAGCAGTTGGTCCACATAGGACAGTGCTGCATCTCATTTCTCTGGTGCTTCATGGTAATATTGATAAACAGTCTTCCCTAGCATATATGTGGGCATGGGCAGAGCCTTTCTCTTTCAGGTATGTGCCAAAAAAATCTCCTGTCATGAAAGACACCTCGTGAGTGTGAGTGCTTGTGAAGTTGCAAGCCCTCCTTTTGTCCCTTAGCACCATCCTAAAATTCTGATCAACCCACTAGTATTCAGGGCCATTTCAGGGAGTGCTGGATGATGCTCAAAAGATTGGTTGTTTGTCTGGAGTCCTGAACGCATTCCCATTTGATGCTTTTTCTGCAGGGTTCTCCTGGCCCTTCACTCAGACATGCTCTTGCCATGCACCCTCATGGACATCTCTAATGTAAGAAGAGCCCCAAAGCCCAGATTCACCTTTGCATCTGTGCTGATGCACAATTCAGGTTTCTGAGTGGATGCAGAAACAGGATCTGCATTGGCTTTAATGCGTGCAGCTTTGTCTCCACCCTGCTTTGCTATGCCAGCTGTGTGGAAGGAACTGTCCAGTCTGCAGACTCCTGGGCACCTTGGTGAAGGTGAGCTGGCCTGGCTTCAGTGCAGGGATCCCTGCAGTGCATGTGTTACATTCAGAACAACCAGCAGAAAAACAGGCAAAAATGGAGGTTACATCTCCTCTAAAAGGCAGAGGTGTCTGTACCCATCCACATGGGACTGCCTGCATCTTTAGACTGTACAGGGCAGTCTGTACAAACCTGGGTGGGTACTGCATCAGGCTCTGAAGAAACTACTGTGGTGCTGCTGTCAGTATCTGTTTCAGAGGTGCTCAACTGTGTTCACACATACTTCCAACTCCTTTCCAATCCAAGTGCAGACACAACCAGTTTCAGTGTCTGTGTGAAGGAGCACAGCCACCACCTCTGGATAGAAACTGGAAACACTTGGTTGCACCTAGTAAAGGTGGTTGTGAGGAAAGCACAAGGCTTCAAGCACAGCCACCCATGTGGAATTGTCACTTGCAGATGGTCAGCTTTGGACACCCTGCAGCCTCTTGGAAGCTGAAATGAGCCTTAGAGGGCAGCAACTCCATTGTGACACTGTTTGAGGCTAAAAGCAGTTGTCTTTGGACCTTTGGATCAAAGGCCAGTGTGAAGGCATCCATCCAGATTTGTGAAGAAATTATTTCCTGTATTACTCTGAACTTTGGCACCGCATTTCTCCCTCAGTCCTAGAGTTTGTTTGTTAACCTTCATGCTGTCACGTACATCTTTAGTCTCTGAGAAAACTGCAGGAATTCTTGCTCTCCATGTGTATTTTGCAAATAATCCCAACATACACAGAATTTCATTCCACAGTGTGTAAAAGGCTCTGCAGAACTGACTGGTTTAACTATAGATTTTCAAAAGCCTTGGCAACTTCAATCTAAGATGGCTGCTTAATAAAATTAAAATGCTTTGTGTATGGGGTTCAGCTAGGATAGAGTTAATTTTCTTCACAGCAGTGTGTATAGTGCTGTGCTTTGGTTTTTTGACTAAACGAGCACTGATAACACACATTGTTTTAGCTGGTACTGGCAGTGTTTGCTCAGCACCAAGGCCTTTTCTTTTCCCCACCGTGAGAAGGCTGGGGCTGCACAAGAGGCTGAGAGAGGACACAGCTGACCAGGGGGTGTAATATGCCAGACTGTGTGACATTGTGCTCAGCAGGAAAGGCAGGGGGAAAGGAGAAGGATGAAGGGGGAATGTTCAGACTTTTGGTCTTTGTCTTCCCAAGCAACTGCCAGGTATGTCAAGGCCCTGCTTGCCTAGAAGCAGCTGAACACGTGCCTGTTGATGAGAAGTGGCAAATGAATTCCTTATTGTGCCTTACTTGCATCTGCAGCTTTGATTTGCTTATCAAACTGCCTTAATATCAACCTGCAAGTTTCCTCTCTTTTGCTCTTCCAATCCTCTCCCCCAGCCTGCCAGGAGAAAGCCATCAAGTGACTGAATGAGGACTTAGCTGCCAGCTGAGGCCAACCCACTGCAGTCCTTTTTGGTGTCCCATGTGAGACAAGAGGATTTTGAGATAACACCCCTGATCAGAGTGTGCTAAGTAGAATTTCTAGCTGTTATTGGCAGCCGTTTATGCTTTTTGCCTTACTGTATGTAAGAGTCTGGCACATTAGTGACTGGTTTGGACTTTTGCTATTTGTTGTAGCTCTTATCTTACGCAGCTGTGCAAGGGAACATTTTGTTATCAGCAATGGTCTCATGTCTGAGGTGGCACAGGGCCCAGACATCCCTGCTCTACTGGGCAGGCTGGAACACCACTGGAATGGGGTTAATTTCCATCACAGCTGCCCAAAGGGTGTTGTGGCTTAGATTTGTCACTAGGGCAGTGTTCACAACACAGGGGTGTTTTAGGGGCACTGAACAGCGTCTGCACGGTGTCAAGGCCTTTGCTTTTTACCTCTCTGCTCAGGCTGGGGAAGGACAAGGGGCTGGAGAGGAAAGGCAAGCAGGACATCTGACCCCAGCTAACAAAAGTACAGTTCATTAGTAAGCAGAAGCAGAACTTCAACTTGTAAAATTGATGCAGATGGACTGAGTCATGCTCCTGCAATCAGTTTTGCAGTTATGTAACTTTACACAGAATTAGACATGTGTGTGTTTATATGTGTATATATAAAGAACTAATTACTTATTTAGAACATTAAAGATCACTGCCTTCTAAAAAATAATTTCATAGTTATCGCATAAAAACTTAGTCCTGCTGAAGTTAGCAAGCATTTATCGACTGTTTTCCAAGGTAAAACCTCATTCCAAAGTTTACATGTCTTTCTTTTTTTAGTGAATATGGCTTGTGTTAGAATTTCATGGTGGTGTCAAACAAAAATAAACTAAGCACAATTACAAAATACTAAGAAACCAACCTTTAAAGATGGAGGAAATACTCACACTGTTTCACCATTTGAAATTATTTCTAATTGGCACTGAAAATTTTACTTTCCTGTTGCATACTTTCACTATTACTAGAACTACTACTGTAGAGGCAAATATACAAAACAAAATTTTGATCCTTTCATGCAACAATATTAGCTTTATTTTCCAGTGGAAAATTACAACAGTTTGTGACATAGTAAAAAAAGAAGAAAAACCAGAAGAAAATATTTGTTTAGTTTTTTACACGTTTTTCATTCCTGTTCTATACCTTCTCTTTAAAATGCATGTTCTGTATGAGAAAGAAATGAAAAACTACTGAAATAAAACTGGCTAACACCATTCAAGGTTCAAAGACAAATTACTTTAAAAATCCAGCCTGCTGAATGGTACCTAGTGTGATAAGTGAAGTGCTGCAAATAAGCAATATAAAGGATAAAAGTCCAGAACACTACTGAAAGCTTAGTTAAAATTCTGCTGGAATAATGAGTTTATGGACTGTGTATCTATTTTCAGATGTGTTATCCTGGGAAATATCCATGTAAAATCTATGCACATGAGTATTTCCATTAGTAAAAATGCTGTTAAATTGTAAGAGAAGATGAAGCTGTTTCTGTTACCCAGTTTCATCTAATCCTCCTCTGCCACCCCCAGGCTGTACTGCCACTGAAGAGCTGCAGTTCTCAAAGCTTTCCTCATCAAGGGAGCTCCCTGTCCCAACAGTCTAAAAGTGTATATGGGACTAAGCATCAGGAGTTCTGAATTCTTGTTTTGGTTCTCCCATTGCTGTTCCATCACCTGTCAGGTTAAATCACTTCCCTTCTTGTTTCTGGGATGGAAAGGCACTGCTGACCCCCGTTTCTCTTTCCAGGGCACTGAAGATGAATTCTGTGAAATCTACACCATTCAAGTGTGCTGGGTATGCAAGAACCAAACCAACAATGCCAGCACACATTCTCTGAGAAGGGGCTGGACATACCTTAATGCTGAGACATGTCCTATCTTTGCCACAGTGCAGGCAAAAGACATGTGGAGGAGAGGCCACCCCTACAATCATTTCTCACCAAGGTACTGCTGGAATGCAGCTCCACATCTCCAGATCAGCACTGGTTTTCCCTCTCAGCCTTATGTATGGAGAACATCCACCTGCTATAGCTTTCTATTCCTCATCTGTGCTGCAAAAGCATTTCAAAATGGAGATAGCCAGGGCTCAGGATCAAGGCCAGAGTCTCCATTCCTAGGGGTTTAGGACTTAAAATTAAATAAAAAGTAAGACAGAGTACTGGTTATCATGAAGAAATGATAATACTAATCAGAAGGGACTACTATTTCTTCCAGAGAAAAGAAGCGGAAAAGAGATTTTCTCAGAGAAAATAAGCTGTTTTCTAAAGTGTGTATTTGTAGGAATGAAACACATGCCAGAGAAATCTCTCAATCCTGCTAGTAAAACATTATGTTCCTTTGACAAAGCACATATCCAAACTACTAAGTGTGACTGTTTTAAGGGTTTCTAGACAAACAGGTTGTTCTGCATGATGACTGCTGGCAGGTTAAGAGCTCCCAGACTCATCAGTCCTTTTTGCAGCCAGACCTCCACCAAAATCACAGCCATAGAGTTCTACCCGAAGGGCAATCCCACGGTACCATGTTTTTGGAACAATGCGGATGAACCTGGACAGGATGGGTGGGTTAAAAAAATTCTTGACGTGCTCATTGCTGTTTGCATTACCCAGGAAAACCTGCAAATACACAAACACAATTAGTAAAAAGGTGCCATTTGAAAAAAACCCTGCATTTTCTCTTTACAACAGTTCCCAGCCGTTGTATTAGTCACACCCAGGGTGGCTCATTTCTGGTTTTAAACAAGACCACAACAAATCTCTTCCTAATGTGCTGGGTTAAAAGTAGTTCAGGCCAGCAATAGCTGAGTCTGAATGGATTAAACAGCCTCTGTTTCCATCTCCACCAGAAAATTTGCCATTCTAATTTCTAATTGACCAAACCCACAAACTCCCCTTATTTCACCCCTGCTAATTGCCTTTGTGGATTAGGTTGGTGTAAGGTAATACAGGAAAAAATACAAAGTACTGTGTCTGCTCTGTGGGTACCTGAAGTTCCCCAGCTCTGCTACAGCGATACTGCTTACTAACATTAATTTCACTTAAAAAATCAGGGCAGAAATAAAAAAAAATAAAAGAGGCCCTGGGGAATCCATTATTCACTCAAATTAAATGTCCTTGTGCATTCAAACTAAATGTTCTCCTTTACAAACAGTGTCAGCTTCTTTAATCACAATATTGGCTGCATTCTCTGTAGATAGAGCGTTCATTCCTTTTATTATGATTAATCATGATCACTAAAATCAGATGGATACTGTGACATTATCTGTAGTAACCCCAGCTCCCTAGCACTTTACAGTCCAGTGAGAATATCAATTTGGCTTGGCATTCTGCCTTTGAGCCTTGACTGTGTCCAGCACCTAAAACCAAACAATTCAATTCACTTCAAAACAACAAAACAGTTCAATTGCCTGGGCTGACAGTGATACCTTTGGCATTGAGCTTGAACCCTCTGTGTAGGATTTCCACTCAAAGCCTTCATTGCTGTACAGAAGAACATAGGTTTTCACAAAGTTTTCAGCTGACATGGATGTTACGCCCTGCGTAGCAATAGCAGTGATCTTCTTAACAGTGAGTAGGTCAATTTGCAGCCACTGTTGGTTGTCATTAAACTACAATTGAGATGAAAATTTGTGAATTAGCAAATATGTAAATGTCTGTATTTGCTTAAGTGAAAATCATGTTTACAGATAGTTAAAACTGTATCAAAATGCATCAAAACTGTATCAAAGAAGAATAAAGCTGAGGGAAGTCACAAGCATTCTTAGTGACCTATATAATTAACTTCCTTACTACAGGTAGTATGTTTGGAGTCTGAAGATTTACACTTTAATTTCCAATACATAATGAAATATAACAGAGATTTACCTCCAGGGTTAAAACCTAATACTTAATACTAATACCAAATGCTTATACAAAAGAGCAGCTTTGATCAAATCTCAAGGTGCTTTGTGATGAAATGCAGCTCCATTTCAAAGACACAGAAGCTCACACAACTTGCTGAAGATCACTCACCCCCAGATCCACTAGGCTGCACTGCCTATAAGCCAACCCAGAACGGGTTTCCTAAACCCCTTTGAAACAAATATTCAAATTGCACTAATCTCCTGAAATTAAACAGGTTATTCCCACAGACTGCAGACTGTGGCCCAGAGGAGAGCATCCATCTCTCAAGGTATTTCACTGCTGTTGCCAGAGGCTCAACAAATTTCTGCTGAAGAGTTGAGTGGTGCTCTTCCCAAAGGATGGTTGTGAAGTGACCTGTCACACTCAGCACTGGACAGAGCATGCAGGAAGCACCATGACCACACAGGCAGCACCAGTTTATTTAACCAGCTGCCCTTGCATTCACTGTTTTTCTCTTGTTACCTTGGCTCGCCAGGCATTTATCTTTCCATTCTGATTGAGACGAGCAAGTGAAGCATCCCATGTGCTAAACCAGGATGTCTTTGCAGATGAGGCTGTTATCTGGGTATTCTTGATCTCTCCACTTTCCATTCCAAGTGGCAAAGAGCAGCCTGTTGAGAGGAGCACTGTGTCATCTCCACTACACTCAATTGGCCACAGCAAAAGCAACAATGTTGGAATGGAGAAGACCCACAGTTTAAGCTTCATTTTAAGTATTAGGTAAAATATTTGCCAGAATGGAAGCAACTGACCAATTCTTACCATCTACTTCACAGCCCAGAAGTTCCATGCGAAGAGTAGGCCTGTTGTAGACCTCAGTGGGGTAGATTCTGATGTACCTAGCAATAATAGGGGGATCAATGATGTTCTCTTTTATGTCATAGGCATTGGAATTACCGTCAAAAATCTGTTCAAAAGAAAAAAAAAATCCCACATACTTAATTTAATGCAAACACAAATTTGGAGGCTGAAAGCCTGCTCTGTTACAAATGTAATCTTTTTTATACCCTTAGCCCCATCCACAGTGATAGCACACCCTATGTTGCAGGGCCACTTGAAATATCTCATGGTCCCATCTTAGCATATTTGGAAGTGTCTGAGGGCCTCAGTTTAAATCAGCAACCTTTTTTTTTTATGTAAGTCTATAAAAATGCATGAGGAAAGAGGTAAAGACAACAGGCTTTCAATCTGGGAGTTTTATCACAGAAACCTCAGTGTAAATTGAAGGCAGCTGTAATAGATAGGGCTGGAGCAGGTGGGTGTAAGATGAACCTCTTTCAGCACACAACCACACAGGCCTTCTGCAGGCAAATCAGTTCAATATTCAGCTGCTGGGACAGATCAAAGGAAGGGATGAGAAGCAGAATCTAATCCCAAATGAGGTAAAGGCCTGATTTTTAGTTCAGCTTCCTGCTTTCTTCAAAAAAGCTGCCACGGGCTTAGGAAATAATAGTAGGGAGAGATGCCTGTGAGAAAACCAGACTCCACACAGTCAAGGTCTCAAGGCCAATCCAAACCCCAGTCCAGGTAGTGTTTCACCTTACTATTTGTCTTCTAGTCTGAATTTCATTAGTTTGGTAAATGCCCTTTGGGGCTTCCAGGTGTACCTATTAAGGCTCCAAAGGCCATCATTTTTCCACTCTTCCTTAACATTAAATAAGACTCACTTAACATTAAATAAGACATCCCTCAGTGACACTGCCTAGGTTGTTGCAAGCCCCATGGCACAGACAGACCTTTCCTGTTGGCGAGCTGTCTCCTTTGAAGGTGTTCCATGTCCGTTTGTCTTTGCTGTAAACAAGAAAATACTTCTGGATGTACAAGGACTTAAAAAACTGCTTGGCTCCCTGTGTCTGTATCCCAGTGAGCAAAACCTGTCTTCGAAAGTCCACCTAGGAACAGCAAAGAGTGTTTATAAAGTCAATAATAATATACAGCAAAAGCCATACAATTCTTCGGCACTTTAATATGCACAGCACAGAATTTACTTTCTCTAAAGGAATAATAGATACCAGAATATCTATCAGAGATCTATCAAATGAATGCTGTCTCATTTCATTTGTGTTTTTGTGTGTGCATTTAATTTCAGAGGCCATTTTACAGGGTTCAGCACGACACCACAAAGACACCTCAAAAATATCTGTGTGTCTGTGGTAGACACAATTCCGCCCCCCTGCCCCATTTTACAGATAGGTCAAGGAGCACAGAGAAATTAAAGGCTCACACTTTTAGAAGCTACCTCTAATTTTAGATACCTAGGCTGCAGAAAGGCATATGACATTCTGAAGTGCTGAAAAGCCACCATTCCTGCTGATACCATATCTAAGCACTTAGCACATAAAAACAAATCTGGAAGGTGTGCCTGTCAGCAGTGAAACTCATTCTCTGGGACGTGCTCTCCACACCACACCTCGGCATGGTTCACTGCAGTAACTTCAGCTTCCCACCACCACAGCCCCCTGTTAAATTCTTTCTCTTCCCAATGATATTTCCAGTTTTACATCAGATCTCCCAACCTTCTCCCTGTACTCCACTTTCACTAACTTGCCAGTATGTCAAATGTTTGCAAGTCAAACACAACAGCCACCTGCTGAACTTGAGTCTCTCTTGTCTTCCAACCAATTTTAATGAGATTTGTAAGAAATCAGCTATTCTCCCCAAATTTGGGTGCAAACTGGCTGTGTAGTGCAAAAGTCATTGGGATGGCAGAAAAAACACAGAAGTAAGGTGATTGAATGATATAGAGCTTGAAGTCATAATTATAAGCTTAGTTTCCCTAAGTGAAGACAACTGAGCTCTGTCAAGTGGGACAGCAGCAGAAAAAGCAAAAAACTATCTGAATGAAGGCTTGAGGATATTACATGTTAAATGATCACTTAAACACAAACATAGAAATATGTACTATTAGACAGACAAAGGAAAAATAAAGTAGCAGAAAGAATTACTCCATTTACCTACAAAATGGTTACAATCTAAATTGTGAGGGTAACTGTCCAGTCAATGAGCCTCAACAGCAGCAGAGACTGAGTTACCCCAGGGAAGAACATTTAATGGCATCAACAATCTTGCCACATCTTTCAGTCTTCTCCAACAGCCTTCTCAGTGACCGGAGCAGCCTGACCTTCTAAAATAAGCTATAGGAAAATCACAACTCAGTGATATTATACTTTACCTGGATCCAAGGCAGTTCTTCCTCCATTGTAGTACTCCAAGCATTGTATGTTCCATAATTATTTAATCGGGCTAACTTAGGTTCCCAATAGTCTAGATGGAAAATATGAATAAAGCAAGAATTTTAAGAGGCATTGAAAAAACAAACTGAGGCTGTTATTAGCTTTGAGTGTGCAATTTCCCACCCCTACCCATAGGATAAGAAAAAAAAAGACAAAAAAATACAAACAAGAGATCTAAAACCATAATCTAGGCTAATTTGGACACGGTCAGCATCTGTACCCTGCAAAGCTTTAAAGTTGGCAAAATGACTAAAATAATAACCTTTTATGTAATATACTGTCTGTTAATTTGGAACCAGGGTCTAGAGTTTGCTAAACAAGTTTTGGCCCCCAGCAGGATCAGATACAAAATGTGCTCTACATTCATGGGAGAGAGCTCCCCTCTGTATAACAAGGTTTTCAAGTTAAAAATTGGTATAGAATATATATTACAAAACAGCTTTCAAGCTTTCATAACACTCTATAAGGAAACAAAGAAAGAAAATCCACAAAAAATTGGGTTTTACAGAATAAGTAACTTATTTTTTATTTCAAGGGAAAGGATGCTGTACGCCTTGATTTGACACTGTGTAAAATGCTAAGAAAAGTCTCTAAGTAATGATCCCACTTTTGTACCACAGATAAACTTGACAAATTAAGGACTCTGTAATTGCTCTGGATGCCAGGGTTCCCAAGTCTTTCATAACAGATATATTTTGTCCTTGCGTATCTCATACCACACTCAAATCTCAAAAGCTTTTTGAACGCTTGGTGTTATTTTCAAGCAGGGAATCCAAGGAACAAAAAGAATGCTGGGTTTGTTCCTGATCACCCAGCAGGCCACAGACAGAGCACTCCCTGACTTTCAATCTTGTGACACTGATAGCAGATCTGTGATACTTCAAATACAATAATGATGGTTACCTAACAGAACTCCCTGTCTCTGCTTGCAGCACTGGAGAGACTTTTAGCCTGAGAGCTGATTGCTGCTGAACTGATCTTCAAAGACCATCAGAGAAGCCAAAACAAGACAGAACTGCAACACTTTGCTGGGGGTGTTCAGGGACCTTTTCAGGGATAAACTCACCTATGTGATGTGAAGCATCAATCTGCGAATCGAGTATAACCCCACTTGCCAGGCCCATTGGAATCCTGCACTCTGAAGGGAGCACAGTAAGTTTGTTGTTAAAGAAAATGAGGACTATTCCAATATATATTCTGGTGAAATGTGAGACAGCATCACTCAGGACAATAGTGTAATTCTAGTTCACTATTAATTATAATAATTGTTATTATTACCTAGTAATTCTATAACATCACTCTTTTCCCAAAGAAGTCTAAATTAATCTCTGCAATTTCTCTCAGCAGATTAATCTACTGGTCACTATAGGGAAACCTCAAATTCAAGGCTAGCATGCTAGAGGAATTAAGGTAGTGTGCTAAATAATTAAAAGCTATCATTGCTGGAAGCTAAAAATTTTTCTTCTGTAACAAATTTACAGTAACTCCACCATGTCCTTGAATGTGGATAATTTCCTACAATTTTTGCAGAACAATCTCCCAAATTTATTTTTAATGATCCTGAAAGGGTAGAGAAGACTTCATAGCTTGACTTTCCCAGCCAAAAACCACTGTAGTTCATACCTTTCTCTATAACCAAATAGGATGTCTGCATTCCTGCTTGCTGGTATTCCCCCACTTCAGTGTCTAAAAGCCACCAGCCAGGTCTCTGTGGTTTCATTTCAATTGTTCTAAATGAGCCTTGAAAAAAGGAAATGAAATGTATCAGAAACATTTGCATTACAAGGCTGATGTCAGTGAGGCTGAATTTTAAACCAAAGACCTTCCTATGACCTAATCCAGAAAATTTAAATACCCATTGCAATGAGGGCAGTAACTTCCACTATCTCAGTGATTTTTCTTCTTAGCAAGCTAGTTCTGGCTGGAGACTGAGATTGTAGCCAATCAAGTAGCCAGATCAAAACCCAACCTTTGCTGATGGTGCAAAGTACAAAACCTTGGTTGCCTGAACATAACATATCTGCACATTAACTACAGTGCTGAACAGTGTAGTGAACAGTGTTTATTACATAATGCATGGATTTTAAGTCTGTGATGCTGGTTATGATTCTTACTCCTGCTGTGCCAGTGTGTTGTTCCAATAATGAGAAGGATGTAAAGAAGCCAATAGTAGAAGCAGGAATATTAGAAGTATGGGCCCTCCCCTCACTTTCTTCATGCCCTAGGAGTGCCAAGGATTGAGCAGGAAGTAGGTATGGTTTCAGTTGCTTGATGCCCTTTTTAGAAAGCACAGGACATGTTCTCATTGCTTTTCTTATACTCCTAGTTGCTGCAGACAATTCTTCAGGTAATTCCAGCTAATTCTGATTCTCATTTAAACAAAAATATGTAGATTTCCCAATTAAAAGCACTACTTTAAAAATAAGGAAATAAAATATTGAATAAACTACCCCTAATGTTCACTAAAACTCCTAGTTTTCCAAGCCAGTCCCATTATTTTGATCTCCTTGTTGTCTTTTTTTTTTCTCCCTTGAATTCTTGTAGCTGGCAACACAGGCTTCATAAGTGCTGTTATTGCACACTGGTACTGCTGACACTGATGGGGCAAAGGACTTCATCCTGCAGTCTAATGAAAACTTACAGCCTATTTCTCCCTGGAGAGAGAGTAAGAATTCTCCTGGGGCTCACATTTCTTCTTTCTGCTCTGTATCACTTACCTGGACATTAAAACCCCCAAACTCACCATATGGAGACCTTTAAACCGATATGATAATGACAGACTTCAGAGGTCACCCCTTTGAACTTACCCTGCTCTGATGCTTACCTGGGAGGAGAGTGTATGTACCAAGCTGATGCTCTGGCTCTCCTTGTTCTATGAAAGTCTGTCCATGAAAATGAACAACATGAATGTCTTTTGGGCCACCCATATTCAGCAAGTGCCATCGGACTGTTTCACCTTCATACATCCTCAAGCCTTGCAAATTGTAGGTAATCCCATTAATGGCTGAAAAAAAAAAGATTGTTAGTCAGGAAAACTGCTCACAAAACCGGTCTCAAAGTGCTAGAAAGTAATTATTGAAATTAGCAACATATTTAATGAAGCAATGTACTTGGGGAAAACATAGTTTTTTCCAATTTAAAGTGCAACACACTTTATGGTGTAAGTCAATTCAGAAAATCCAGGGACCTCACCAGAAGATTTGAGCACAGCTTGGTAGCAACACATGGCAGCCAGAAGAACAAAAATATTTAAACGTAAGATGGGAATATCAGGCCCAAAAGAAAGGACAGCTATCCAAAACTCTTTCTGAAGCTCCCATTTCCAAAGGCACAACTGAAATACCTCTATATCCACAGAGGGGTGTATGAAGGGCTGTTATACAGTTGATTCAAATTCCTCAACAGAACTACCTGATAGGTCAAATTATTAAAATATTTTAAAACTTCTTGCAAGAAGTTGTCAGGGTACTAGCTTCTTATTGCAAAGAAGACTTCTTTGTTTCTTTTTTTCTTTAAATAGGGGGGAATATATATGCAAATACAAGAGAGAAGTTTTCTTTTGAAAGTTTCAGTCCAGTTTCTTTCTTCATTTTAATAGCAAATTTCCTATCACTGATAATTTTTACATGTAAAACCATGACTACTATGGGTACAATGGATAACAAAAAAATTCACATAACTAATGTGGGGGATTTATACATTTTGAAAAGGACCATGAGCTGAGATACTTCCCCTGACATCTTTCCCTCTACCACAGTAAACTGCATATATGGCAAAATGAAATAGGTACCATAGAATTTGTGGCATTGCTGCATTTCTTGTGTCTTCTCATTACAAGGCTTTCCAGAATGTTTGTCAAAGTACCAGCTTTTCTCTTCATCAAAGACCATAAAAAGCAAGAAGAAGTCTCGTGTATATGTCCTGCTGCTGTTTGATTTGCTGAAGGTTCCTTTTTCACAGATCAGTATAGGCCCAATCAAACCAGACTGAATGTCTTTCTCCTAGAAGGTAATAAACTCATATTAGAGGTAAAAGTGGATTTCCAAAAAGAGGTAATAAAAACCCCATAGCATTCTGCAGGAATGCATCAGCCCCTAAAAATCTAAAGTAGGTCCCAGAATTACTGCTCCCTTCTATCTTTATTCTTCCCTGCTCAGTCTTACCAGAGCTGCCCACTTCAAGTTCTTCCATACTTTATGTCCTGCTGTAACTGAGTGCAAGACATTAAATGTCAGGTGGGAACATCTGAGCCCGAAAGAAAGGACAGCTATCAAAAAACATGTCCTGCAGCTTGCACTTCTACAGCCATGCATCATTCCAAAAAATATTCAATACCCAGCTGAACATTGGCTCTGGACAAACTACTCTAGCCGACTCTGCTTGAGCTGCAGTGGTGGACTGGATGATCTCTGGTGATGCTTCCCAACACAACTGTTTCTATGATTCTGTGATCAACCCCAGCAACACCACCCCTTCTATTTCCATTCCCTTACCAGGTTTAAATCAGAGTAGTAGACCCAGGACCGACAAGCTGCTCCTGACTGCACAGGGCCCGATCGCTGGTTTGCATACCATACATATATGTAGCTGTTATTTGGCTGAACTTCATCTTCCTTAAACCAAGCAGTAGATTCATCATCATAAACGCTTCCCTCAGAGGACTTTTCATAGAGGACTCCATGGGCATGGAGGGAATATGGTCTGGATGCCAGATTCTTAAAATGAACCTAAAAAATCAAAAATAAATTCTGTTCAGCAAACTCAGGCCTACACCGAAGTCCCCCCACATTACACTCCCATGACCTCAAACCAGGTCAAACCATCTTTTGCATAAAGATTACAGACTATGTTGTACATGGAAAAGCCAGCAGATAGAGCTTTTGATCTCCATGCATCTCCATGCAGAGTCTCCACCTTTGATACAGGTAGTTTTCTGAAAAATCATGAGCCTAACTCCCTGTCTTCCACCAATCGAAGCTCCCAGGACATTGACTGCAGCCCCTCATACCTGGAGCTGCTTAGTTACTGCCAGCAGGGAAATGGGGAGATTCTACCTCTCATGCTTTGTTGCAGTTGTTGCAATCCAGTAACTCTAGACTTCTGTATGTACCATTCTTGCTGAAATCAGTGCTTCCCACTTCTCCCAGAGAAACACCAGGACAGGGGGACTACATAGTTACCTCCCATTAGAGAATATCACTCCCAAGCTACAACAGCTTTTTCTTCTCTTACTCATGATTTAAACATGGCTTGGTGACTTCCTGTTGCACACCACTCCTACTGAAATAAGCAGAAAGCACTGAGATCTATCCTCCCTATTTAAGTCCATCCCTGTGTGTTGGAAGACTGTATGAAGAAGGATGAGAGAAGGGAAATTAGGAAGCAGTGTGCTTCCTAATGCAAATATACCACAGTGTATCCAGGGATATGGTTCCTCTTCATCCTTATTGACAGTTCTAACAAAATCCTGCACATTTACACAGCAAAACTATTTAGAGGAAATGATATATTTTCCCAAAAAGTATATATTAATCTTGAACACACATGTACTAATTTTTAAGTTTAGACAACTAATTTTTCATTAACACTAAACCTAAATCTTATTTTACAGTAGACAAATGAGCCAGTATTTAATGCTGGGAAACAAAGAACAACAGAATTTAATTTGCTGTGGACAGGAGTGAAAAAAGATGTGTTTCAAAGAAACACATCACAGTGCTTACAAGTTCACAGTAATATTTCTAGCTTTGAAAACTGTTTCCCCTCCATCATCTTTTAAAAATTTGTGTCATTTTTAGATCCATTCTGTCATATTCCAAGACCACTGTAAGTATCTTATCCTGCACACACAATCAGAACATTGACCTACTAGGATAACATCGTCCACTTCAGCCCGAATAACTGGTCCCAGGATGCCAAGATGTTCTGTATATTCATCTTCATCCTGAAGAGTTGAAAAGGTACTGTCTGTGTAGCTCTGGAAAATCACCTTGCGTCTGCTGCCATCTTTACAGGTTTTGTCATTCCTCATTGCACTGAAAGGAAAACCCCAATTAAAATCCCTTTGATTCTGAGGGAATCAGAAATACTAGCTTTGATGAAACCTGGGAACTCATATAGCAGAAACATTTTAGAATTCTGTGAATATAAAGAATAAACACTCAAATGGCTTCAAACTGTGTCAGGGAAGGTTTAGATTGGATATTAGCGAAATTTTTTTTACCAAAAGGGTTGCCCAGGGAAGTGGTTGAGTCTTGGTTCCTGGAAGTGTTTAGAAGATATGTGGATGTGGTTCTTAGGGACATGGTTTATTGGTGAACCTGGCAGTGCTGTTAATGGCAACCTGGCAATGGATTAAAGGTTGGACTCAGTGGTCTTAAAGGTGTTTTCCAACCTTCTGTGAATCTACAAAATGAGCTTCAGATGATTCTGAAAATCATGGCTTGCAATGTTTAAGCAATTCAAGTTCTACAGTTGGATAAGAGATCCCTCAACCATTTGGTAAACTATCCCTGAAAAACTCCAACAAGTCTCTCAAAACCCATCTGAGCTCTGTTTTCCTTTTTTTCTTATCCTTAATAATCTGGATTGGAGCTTGGCTGAGTGTAGTGAGCCTATCACCTACACAGTACTGTCTCTCAGATATTTTAATCTGATAATACCTGTATTTTGAATCACAGAACTGGTATGGTAAAATAAGCTTTTACAGCTTCAAACTGTTGTTCAGATCTTAAACAGAAGTGCTGAAATGCTATTATAATTACCCACAAATCTTGCTTTATTATCAATTTTGCAAAACCCAGAAATTTAACATAAGTTACATAGGAGAAATGTTGGGGTTTAGCTCTTCAACACACTGAGAGGATATGCCATGGGCTCTCTTAAATTCACTGGAACTATTCAGCTCACACCAGGTGAGGACAAACACTTCTGGAGAGACCGATATAGAGGTCTAAGCATTGATTTTTCAAGTGCCCAAAGAAACTGTCTTGTTTCTGCTATTTTTGCAAGTGCCATTTATATGGACTGAGATGAGGTAGGAGTAAACCTGGAGAATACTGAAAAAGTTTTATTTTTATTTCCATCAAATGAAATGGAAATTCAGTTTGAGAAAGAATCTATGTTTGGAGATTCACTTTGCATAATGAAAATATTCTTGCTCCTGTTTTGGCTGCTTTTGATAAAAATCCAAAGTTGGGCAAGTTTTGGTTCAGCTTTTTGATTAAAAGTGACAAAGAATTCTATGCCTTTTTGGGTAAGCACTGATCCTAACCTGTATCAATTAAGAGAGTGAATTTTCAGTATAGTGTTTCTCTCAGTATATTCTCACATATTCTTTGCTGTGGCACAGTAGCCAGTCTTGCCTATCAAAATTTAAGAAAATCCCTCAGCATTAGGATTTGTGATCCAGTCACCTTCTGATTTCTCTAAACAGCAGGAGCAACAATAATACTTTATGCAGCTTTGTTTTTACACTTAATATAAGGCAGTCACCAGTGTGGTTAAAAACCTTACAGCTTTCATGTACTTTTTAATACTTCAGCCTTGTGAAGCTGGAAAGAGCTGTTATCCCATTTTCCAACAGAGAACTGAGACACCAGAACCATTTCCTGCTAGTGCTAGAAACTGATTTAATTTGCCTATAAGCACATCCCATTCTAAATTCCATGAGTTAGTCCATTAAATTCCTGGAAATATTTTGCACAAGGAGGTCTCTGTCCTGTGTACATGTACCAAGAACTGAAGCACAAAGTAAAACATTCAAGTACAACAAAACAAGCTGCAAGATTCCCTTTTGACCTCTCACAGTGAGTTTTATAACTGATGTATTGCAGACTGTTACTAGTGAGTCTCCAAAAGGGAGTTAAAAAAAAAAAAAGAGTTCTTAGCTGTGTTGTACTTGATTATAGTAATCTCACTCTGACATTTCTAAGGGGTGTGAGTCTCTCGTGGAAAATTCTTATAAGTTTGTGCCATTGAAATGTCAGAAATCAGATGGCACATTACAGATGCTTTTAAGTTTATCAGCATGTGAATCAACATTCTGCAAGGAGATTTCAGGATGGTGTGCCAAGTGAAAGCAAAGGATTTAGGCAAACCTTTTCTTATATCCTGCATAGTTCCAGCAGACCTCTTCAGCTGCGATGTAATATCTCCTCTTATTGCCTCTGCTGCGCAGGTAGTGCTCAGCAATGTCATCAGGGTTACGCTGCCTGCTGATGTTCACCTTGGGGTCTGTCATGTAGGGGTCATCAAAGCTCACATAATGGTACTCGTATTCGCCACCCGAGCTCTCGTCGCTGTAGGATTCTCCTATCACATACTCGTAGTCTCCGTCTGCTCGGGGCAGCCCGATGGTGATGGACGGCCTGAACTGCCGCGGGGTGAGGGTTTCCCCCAGCGACTCTCCGAGCCTGGCTCTGCTCACACCCACACTCTGGCTGACCTCACTGGCTGCCTTGGTGGCATCTGCGCAACATGGCACTGCTGTGTGGTTGGTCCCACCCTGAAGCGCACGGCCAAACCCTGCCACGGAATTGCTGGGCTTTTTGGAGTTTCTACTCCTTGGGCTCAGCAAGTAGGTAATTTTTGCATCTTCCTTCTTTCTCCTTCGGATCTTGATGAAGGTTCCAGATGAAGTCAAGGTATTGTTGTTTCCCTCCTTTCCTTTCTGAGTCGGGTGAATGTGGCTCACTTTCTGGTTTTCCCCCATTAGATGTGAGAGCCCTTGATCTTTCTTCATATCTTCCTTATTTATGGATGCTGTACCATTTCTGCCATGATGATTTAACTTACCACCAGCAGATTTATCTAAGCTTGCCTCTAATCCTGGATTCATCTTTGCAGACACCAAATTCCATTCCTTACTAGTCATTTTAGATGAATATTTCCCAGCCCCGGGCAATGATGCTTCTAGTAAGTTCTTCACTACAGCAGGGCTGGAATTAGGGCTTGTATTGTCTAATGTATATTCTAAAGAAAAAACATCGGCTGGTTTATCTTTGGATATCCTGGGTTCAGAAAGGCTGGATGCATTAGACCCTTCTCCTACTATGAGGTCCAAATCCAGTGTCAAGTTAACTGTGTGCATGGCATTTTCCATCTTCTTTCCCTCCTCTTTCAGATCATCATCATATTCATTTTGCAGTTTGCCAGTTCCCACCATGGCTTCATTAGATGTGTTCTCTGTATGATACACAAAATGAGGTGCATCAGTCTTGTCAGAAAATGAGACATTTTTATTTCGGACATGATTTAGAAGGGCATTCATCTTTTGGACAGAGTAAAACTTAATGGCCAGTGAGCTTCGCCTTTTCCTTTTCTTGTTAGTAGTATAATTTCCTCTTCCCGTGCTTTGCTCTTGATATTTTTCTGGAAAAGGTTTACTGTCCTTTCCATCAGCTGGAAGCTCTTCTGCAACATTCACTGGGCCTCCCCCATTGCTCAGCATGTGTTCACCTGCAGACATGTTACTGTGAGCTATTTCATAGTTGCTTTGGCTTCTATTCTCAAATACCAAGTCAGCTTCTCCATCACTTGTGGTAGCTAAAAATAAATCCTCTTCTGCTGTGATTGATGTGTGATTTGACTGGAATGTTTCAGCCTTGACTGGGGGAAGAGGAGTGATATGAGTTTCAAAGAACTTAGAGTTGTTTGTTGTTCCACTACTATTTATAGCTGTCAGACCTGAGCCAGCTGCTACCTCAGAACTCATGGCATCAATGTCTTCGTACTGCTCCCAGGCCAGTGCTGTAAGATTCTGTTTTTCTTCATCACCTGCTGCCTTTCTTGAGCCTCGGATGGAGTAAACAGAAGCCAGATAATCCTGATAATCCAATTCTTCCTTGTTTTCCTCCTTTTCTTGCACAACTTGCTCAACTGTGGTGGGAACAGCCTTTCTTTCAGTCTTGGTGGGACTTAAAGCCACAAAATCCAATGTTTCATCTTCCTCATAGTCACACTTTGCGTCCCTGAATCTCAGCCTCATGCCATAACTCATTTCTGGGGTGCCCCAGGATGCCAAAAGCCAAGTACCTGCAATTGAAATAAAAGTGTTATGAGACTGGACATTGTCTGTCATGTAAGTGGCCAAGGCAAATTGTTTTGCTTCTACAGCACCTGCTATAGCAGACTGCTAATCTTTATCTGGGATATTTATGAGCTGCAATGAAAAATAATTATTAAATATAGACAAATTAGGGCACATATAAATACATCTAGGAGATGGAACTCTTTTCCATAGATTAAGCTGTAACTAGAACCTGATCCAAAAATAACCCATGAAAGAGATAGATATGAAAAAGAAAGAAACAAATGAAAGGATCCTATGTTTAGATCTGGATCTAAGAGTGAGACCTCTCAAGATAAAGTTTCAATTTTATCCTGTCCTTACTGGTACATGCACTGCTACATAGATAGAACATTCTGAGCAGAGCAAATGCATTGTGAGGCAATGCTGGCAAACATTTGACATACACAGTGTTTTAAAAGCTTTTGGATGAATCATGGGTGATCTTTAATAAGTAAAATAAGAATAAAGCAAATTGAATTTCCAATCTGACAAAAGCTATTAAGCTGCCAATCTGAGGCATTTCTGATTAATTTAAAGATAATTCCTCCAAAACCTCATTACAAGGTAAGTTCTCTATTGGAAACTAGAATATTCTGAGAAGAAAATAAAATCTGTTTCCCTAAACAACATCAAATTAAACTCTTTGCTTGTTACACCCTGATTTTGGAACTAGTAGAAATGACAAAATAGACAGAACTAACACCCTGAGAAACAGGTTTTTTTTTTAAAAAGGTCACATACAATTCTTCCTGTATTGATCAGCTTGAAGTGACCTGCACAGCTTTCCTGATTTCTAACAACAGCAAATTTATCAAAGAAAATATGCTCTGGATGGAAAGAATAGATTGCATACCAAAATCAAGCAAAAATACAACTTTATTACTGGGGAGGTTTCCATAAAGTCTAATAGAGTTCTAATGATTCTCTAGTCTTGAGCAATACAAGCCACTTAAACATTTTTAAGTTATAAGGTCTTGATGCTGTGCAATATATAAAATATATATATTTTTAAAAAGTAAGATATTTTAAATGGGATAAGGATACTTCAACCTTGAGAGATTTCAGAATGATCACTCAAAGTGCACAGACTTCAATGACACAGAAGCTGTCCTTTTAGAAGTAATGCCTTAAATGTGGATTACATGGGTTCTGATGCCCCCTCTTCCAAGACATGGTGCTAATTCTAGCTAGATATTGAGATGCATCCCACAGACCAGTGACCTGGTTCAGGCAGGCAGACTTTACTGCTAATGAATGACTTCAAGCCCAAGGTCAGGTGTAGCCATTTTGCCCAGTAATGACCAGCAGAATTTGACAGTTTCAGCCCATTTTAGACTGCTCAGAATAGACAAGAATGTGGCAAACCTGGAAATCATACAATGGAGGTCACACCGGTTTCCAAGAAGAATCTTGCCTTAAAATTATCATTACTAACCCCAGTACTAATTGTGAAGTGAAAAAAAACCAAATCACAAGATCACCAACAAAAAGAGCCTCAGTACAGCATCCAGTTATGCTAAGTTGGTGTAGCCAGAAAGACTCCATGCACATCACTTGCACCGGGGAATGTTTCAATGTTTTCTAGCACTGTTTATCAAAAGAGTTTTCTCTCCTATTTAGATAAGTCCTTATAGACTGGAGATTAAATAATGTCTTAGAAGAGCTGTCAAACACTACAGTTCCACCACTTACCACCATTGTCCATTTCCACTGTGACCGATTCTCCGCTCATGGGGAAAAGGCTCAATGTATCCTCGTATTTCCCTTGATACAGAAAAAAGTGTCCAGCAAGGCGAACAGAGACAACCTCATCATGGGTGCCAACACTGAAAAAGTGCCACTGAACCACAGTATCTCGGCAAAATCCAAGGATTTCGCTGCTGTCAGACACATAGCCATTTATTGCTAAAAGGAAAGCAAAGTAAAAGTGGTTTCAGTATTTCTGTTTTAAAACTTCCTGTTCTTTGATGTCAGTGCACTGGATTCATGTTTGCACTGGAAAGAGACTGGCACAGGGCTGAAACTATGATAATTTCCATCTCTGGCAGCAAGGTGCTGCATCAAAATTTAGTTAACCCTTGTCTTTGCTTCAGGGTCCAGAGCTAGCCTAGCTACTAGTGGCGAGGTGTGGGTAGGCCTTTTCCCTCAGCAGCTAGCAATAAAATAAGGGGAAATAAAGGGTCCCAAGCTCCACCAGGGGAGGTTCAGGTTGAATATTAGGAAAAAATTTCTTCACTGAGTGGATGACCATTGTAACAGGCTCCCAAACGAAGTGGCAGAGTCATCATCTCTGGGAGTGTTCAAAAAAGAAGTGAACATGGCACTCTGCAATATGCTTTAGTGGGCAGGCTGGTATTAGATGAGAGGCTGGACTTGATCTTGGAGGTCTTTTCCAGCCTTTCTAATTCTATGACATTTCTTATTTCTGTCCAGTGCCACCTGGCACAGTTAGAAGTTCACTGACTCTCTGGAGGACTCCCCAGTCACATGTACTTCTGAGAACAAGCAATCACCGAGTGCTCAGGTTCATATAACCATTCCTATTATTCATCTCAGTATTCCACTCACTGTGCATTATGTTTGAGTTATAGAACTTGGGATCATCCCTTTTAACAGTGGCTGGGTTGCTGCAGTACTCCTTGATGTTATCCTCTAGGTACCAGCTCTTATTTTCATCGAACACAGCAAACATTGCCTGCTGCTCCTCATCTGCCTTTTTCTGAAAGACAATCAACATAGTTACATTTTATCAGCAGGCACACGTATTAAGAACTCAATTCTACAATCTCTTTCTTACTATGTAAGCAATATAAGTTTCATCAGAGTCCTGGTAAGTGTCATCCAAAGGTTATGTGGAAGGGAGTAGAGGCTCCAGACTTCAATCCTACTACTGCAACCAACCTGCAGTAGAATGCTGAGCGAGCCTCTAGCACTGGTGATACACAGATGATTTATGACTGGGCTCTCTGTAACAGAACCAGACTTCTGGTTTGAACTGACAAAGCTTCTGACATTTTTTTCTCTCAAGTGGTCCTTAAATCTTTGCCAAGCAAGATTTCAATAACTGGTAAAGGGAAGCCATCTCCCAGAACTCTCCCATGCTGTTTTGGTTGTTCTAGATTCATTGTACCTGAGATTGTCAGATGCTGTGGAGCAGTCTCTGTTACAGAAAGGAGCCAAGTAAGAGATGAATATCTTCAGAGCATGAAAGTATAATAATAGCAGAAAAATTTATTATCAAGTCTAGAAATAGACTTTAAAGTCAGGCTGACCTTTTGTTGACCTTTCTTAGCACTTGCTAAGAAACACAGAACATAATTCCTTTACTGCTGTGGACAGTTAGAGGAGGACAGGAGCCTATTGGTTTAACTGCTCTCCACAGAGCAGTTCTCTAAGGGAAGTAAAACTAAATTCAGTGTAGAATAAATAGCATTATTTGAGCAAAATCTGTTCAAACAAGTTACCTGCACACCCTTTTGTGTCAGTGCTTCACTTTTACAAATCAGAAGTGGGCCAATCAGTCCAGAGGCTATATCTCTCTCAGTATTTACAGCACTGTGATACAGCCTTGTAATACATTGTGCATCCTGTGCAGTGGGTTGATCTGTTTTAGCAATTTTCCACTCATAAGTGTACGTATTCCCTGGTTCAACTCCTCTACTCTGGGTGCCATTGCCTAAGGAAAAACAAGAACAGTAATGATATAAACTCAGAGCCAGAACTTAGTATCAAGCTGAACCTTCTAATGTCATTGGTGTAGTTTGGCCATTAAAAGCTACCTTGAGATAACTGAAATTCAGCAAGAACTTTTGTCTCTCTAAAATTACAAACAAGAACAGAAAGCTAATACAACAAATAGAGGGTATTTGTCTCTGCTTTGCAGATAATACCTTGGTTTCTCTATAAGGCAACACAACAGGTAAGCAGAGGCAGAGAACAGAATTGAGGTCTCCCAGTCATGCACATTCCCAGCCACAGCACCTCCTTCAAAGTAACAAAACCATCCATAACAGTTAGTGATATGCAAAAATATATTTCACAAATTTTTTACTTGTGGGATCCAGAGGATAATCAGCTCCTTCTGCATTCTTTGCAAGTGTCACTCCATGGAAATAAATGCTGTAGGGTCGACTGGCCTTATTTTTGAATACAATCTATATTAATAGGTAAATGAAAAGAAAAATTAGGATTCAACAAATCCTTGTCTGAATATATAATGAAGTCACCACTACAGTAGAATTTGCCTGGCTTTCACCCAGAAAGTGCCAGAAAGGCAAAAGAGTGTCTTAAGTACTGTTTGATATATAAACACAAAGAATAAAAGCTGTTACCGTTCTGTTGGACTTTGTAGACCCCAGGGAGTGAACTTCAGCTGCTTACAGCTGGGCTATGGAAGGCCTAAAAAGAACACTTGTTCTTCTAGCTACTAGGCACACACTGTCTCTGGAAATATGAAGCTACTGACTGAAGTTCTTAAAAACCTTAAATATTGGAGAAAAAAAATTTCAAACCAAAGCTTGTCCCAGATTCTAAGACCCAGAGGGGATAAGTATGGAAAAGGCAAGATTTCCTGCCTATTCTTGACAAAATTAGGATTAAAAAAAAACAACAAACAAACAAACAAACAAACAAAAAAACCAAAACCCCCCAAAAAACCCCAAAAATGGGAGAGAAAAAGAGAAAAGAAAAAAAGGCACATGCTAAGCTCAAATTCAGAGCCACAGACTCATGGTGGAAATGACAGAAGATAAGGTTATGGAACTTTGTGATGCATCATTAAATGACAACAGAAAGACAAGTGGCAGCACAAGCTTGTAATGCAAATATTTTGTAGTTTCATGGTATAACCTCATGAAACAACATTTGATTATAGAACCTGATTACCTTTGTCTAAAACAGCTGGAAAAAAAAATCAGCATAAGAAACAAGAGGCTCATGAAGTTCAGCCTCACATACAAATTCCCTAGGAAGTCCACCCAGGTCTAGGGCTTCTTTCCCATTTTGGACCAGTGTCAACACATGTTTTACAGAGTGTGACTGAAGCATGTTTATGTTGTAAAATAAAGCACAATCATGGAAACTATAGAAGGAACACTGAAAAATGCAAGCTAAACAGTGCTACTTGTGATCATACCTTTTAACAGGGCCGATATTGAGAACATTAGTTATATTATTTGAAAGACAACAAAAATGAAACTAATTCCTTTGTACCTCTGCCTCAATATAAAGCATATTATAGTATAAATAATCTCTGTATTTGTGTTACTTACTCTGACTTTATCATTGATTTGAGCTCTGATAATAGGGCCCAAGATTCCAGTTTGCTTGGGACGAGGATTTTCCAGACGTTTAGTGAAGCTGGCATCAGTATATTGTGTAAAAATAGCTTTTTTATACCTTTTACCTATGAGATTGGAGAAGTTGTCCAAGTGTTGCGATTTATAGTGTCTTAAAAATAAACGAAAAGAAAAATGATCAACACAACTTGCATAGTGGCATCTGTTAAAGTACAAAATTAGTATTCAAGCAACTGGTAGAAATCTCACTGCTTGAAAAAAAAAGCCAAACCCTAAACTAACCTAATGCTTTTCACCCCAAATTCTAACCTAAATTAGGTAAGAAGAATCTTAGGTCATTACTTTTACTTTGGCATTATATATGACCAATTAATATCAGAGTTTACATTTCATTTAATAATGTACATACAAGTATGAAACAAACTGAAGCAGCAGGTACACTTCTAAGGTAAGGCAGAAATCACTGTTTTCCTTTTTCAAAGGCCTAGTTGATCATGGAGGAAAAAAACCCCCAATTTGCTCACAGTAGCAAAGACTCCAGGAGAAATAGGATCAGAATCTTAATCCCAGCCAGGCACTATACAGTAAGTAGTGTTATACTGAGGTTTCAAACTTTTTTTTGTTGTCACTCACCTTTCAAAAAAGATTACTGAAAAGGGATAAACTGCAGTTTTGAACAAAGGAGGGAAAATCAGAGCACTGAGATGGTTAAATAAGGCAGTGTGAGTGGCAGGAAAGATACATCAAATTTGTTCTGTGCAGTTCAAGAACACATAAGGGAAGCAAATCATGTCAAAGGAGAATGAGTTGTGCAAACACTATATTTCTAAGGAGGCATACGAAATGATAATCCTTACAGAATAAGGAATTTGTTTGTTCTCCTTAAATCCTTAAAGATTCTTATGAATATAAGCTTGTAAAGGCTCATAAAGGCACAAATAACACTGGGGAACTGACAGATCGCAAATTTAACCCCACAGTGCACTGATAGCACTGTACACTATGACATCATGTATGTTACAGAATTCCTTCTATTTGTCTTAAGTTGAGCAAAATAGCCCAATATGCTTCTTTATTATGACTTGTACTCCATCTACATTGGTACTATGCAGACATCATTTATAGAGAGCTCTTTCTCCTGTTCCCTAAACACTTTATTGTACTGAACTTTTAAAAATTTATAATCTCCAGAAATATCCCCTACTTCCAAGGATTGTTTATTTCACCAGAATTGATGCTGAAAAGTATTTTAGAAAATAATCCTGTATGCTGCTTTGGACAATTCCTCAGTCACCTTGTTATTTTGAGCTCACTGTGAGAGGAAAAAGAAGGTGCCTACTGTTGGGCTTCTCAGGAAAGAAAGTCACTGATACTAGTGAGAGTCCAGTGAAGGGCCACCATGGTGATCAGGGAGCCAGAGCACCTGGCATAGAAGCAAAATTCCAGTTTCTTCAGTCAGGCAAAGACATAGCTAAGGGAGCATCTTATGTTTAACCTCAACTATCAAATTGACATTATAGAGAAAGCAGGACCATGTGCTTCTCAAAGCCGCACGGTGAAGAGATGAGACACAATGGCCACAAAGTGCAATATGAGGAAGAACATTTAGATATCAGGAAAAACGCTTTCACTGTGAAACTGCAAAGATGCCAAGAGAAGCTGAGGGGTTCCTGCACTTGGAAACAATAAAAATGCAACTGCACAAGGTCCAGTGCAACTGGATCCAGCTTTGCTATTGGATACCAAGAGGTTCTTTCCGACCACAATTATCCTGTGATTTCATGTTAACAATCCCTATTATACTGACAAACCAGTATTTTACCTATCAAGGGTGTCTGGAATTCTTGGGGCATAATCCCAGGTAACTTCTTCTGCAGCAATGAAATAGTCCCAGGTTTGGACCATAAGACGTTCTCTATAGGAGAGACGACTCTTCTTCACCTCTTTGTCCCCACAATCCCTTACAGCGAGGTAACCGTGCATTCCAGCTAATTGAGAGGAAACAGGACCATAGTGATTGCCCATCTGAGGAACTCTTACCACTTCAGCTGTTTTTCAACACCAAAAGATATCTCCTGCTCTTATAAGAGAGATGTTTTTCTCATTCTTTAAAACAGAATTCTGATTATTGCTGAAAGATACCACTTTCAAATGGCTAAGAGAAAATATTTTCATCACATTGAAGTACCCTTAGCTGAAAGTACTCAGTTTCTCAGGAAATTGGTGGTTTCTTACTAATTTTATAGTGGTGCTTATCTGAACAGTTCACAGAGACTTAGATGCTGGTGTATTGAATCACTGTTGCTCTGTGCTGTGGACACTGCAGTAAAGCTGCAGATAAGAGTATCTTTCAGTTCAACGTGCACTTCCAACAGAACGCCTGGTTCTTGGTTATTTTCTTAGTGAAAAGAAAAAAAACGGTACTGTTGTAAAACAGCAGAAGCCATTTGGGACATGGAGAAGAACAGCTTTACAGGTGCCTAATAACTAGATGTTTCCTTGCCTTGCAGGTGCTTTTGGACAAGAGAAGATATGAGCCACCTTCCTTCCTCAGTCACTGTCATGTTTACGGTGGTTGAGGCTCCTCCCACCAAGTTAACAGCAGAAACTCGACGGCGTTTTTGCTCCATGGACTGGCCATTGATGTGAATGGAGAAGATTTCTGGCTTGGAACTCATTCCTATCAAGTGCCAACTAATGTTGTCATATGCACAAGCCTCTAAATCTAAAAGAGACATGAGATTAGGGTTCAGAATTACAGGCAAATCATGCAAGTTCCCCATGCACCCTAGGTTTGAAGTGAGTCTTCACTGAAAACATTAAAAAAATTGCTGTGATCAATGTTTGCAACAAGAGGAAGTTTCAGAAGCGTGTAAATGGAACAGATACCAAAATCATGTGTCAGTGGAAGACAAATGTTTAAATCTTACCTGCAAGTAATAAACTGGCTTACAACAAGCTGGCAAAAAATGGAAAAAAACCAGTGCCTTCTTTTGGAAAGCTGACCTGTCCTTGCTTGGGGAGTGAGGGGAAAACAGGGCAGGGAATGCAAAGAACAAAGCAAGGATCTAAGCTAAAGACTGATGTGGTACTTAGTGACAGTAACTATATTCTTCAATATTTTCTTAAAAAAAATTCCCATTTAAGACAATCTTTTATATTTGCTCAATGGATGGGAGAGAGCTATTTAAGTTTTTTCTTAGGAAAACAAGAGAAAAGCCCCACTACCATCTTCCTAGTCTTCTCACTTAATTGTGTCTTTTAATGATAACTGACTTTCCACTTTCTGGAAGTTTTGCACCCAGCATGTAGAACCAACAATTCACTTAAATCACTCTCTCACTATCAGCTTGCTAAAAAAATGAGGAGCTTATTAATTCTTTTTTTTAAAGTTAGTAATCCTTTTCTTCTAGCAGAAGTCTTCTCAGAGGTAATCTCATTGTTCCTATTAGTAATCTGGTGTTACTTCCTTTCAGCAGCACAGTTTTTCTTCCAGAATTTAGATGCTCACAGACACATTCAAAAAAAGGCTGTATCCCTTTTCGCCACATTCCCATTCTTGTGCATAAAAAGCAACTAAAGGTAATATTCAGTGTTTATAAATGTTAGTTTAATTTCATATAAGTTGGAACAGTACCTGGTAACGTTCCATCAGTATAGCCATTAATTGTATACTTGACTGATGCTGATTTTTGCCAACTCTTGTTCTCATCAAACACACCAAACATCAGTACATATTCCCTGTCAAAATGTTTCTGTGACCCATCCTCATTTAGACTTCCTGTGAAGGAGAAACAAGAGGTCTTAGTTTAAGGCAGAAATAAAGCAGATTTCCCATGCAGTTGCATTAATACATATTTAATGAGCTTGTTTCACCTGTTAGCATGTACTGGCTGAGCCTGATCAAAACAAAGCCTGAATGCTCATAATGTGATTTTATTTCTGGAAGTACTTTTGTATTGGGTAAGCACAAAATCAAAAGTCTGAAGTATTCCAGAGAAGATAAACATCATGCAATGAATTGTCTCAGACAATTTCTGGCAATGTGTTGCAGAGATCGCCTTAAAGAAGGAGAGTGTCAAACACCTTTGGTTCACAATCAGGTGCTGCTCTCTCTTTTCAGACTGTGTGACAAAGAGAAGAGTGATGGCAGAGTCACCAGCAGTGTGAACAGCACCTTTTCAAGCACTGAGGTCATCAGCACCTTTAAAAAGCTTAAAACCAACCACTCAGCAAACAACATTTACACACAAAAGTCTTCAACAGACACTGCTGTGCTGGATCAGTTACAAGAAACAGTCCTGGGCGATTTTGTGATACAGAAGTAATTTTTGTCAAGAAGTAGAATTCATTCTGGACATGCCACACAGAACTGGTGTCATTCTTACTGATTCTTTCTGTAGATTGCTCACATCAAAAACTTCCACTTGCTACTTTCAAAACATAATCTGGTTCCTCTGGATTGCAAGAATGAAAAATTTGCAAACATACTGATTATTCTACCTAGGAAGAGGCAGTGGAAGAAATTATCTTCAATATATTTTTTTAATTTATGGGAAGCTACAAAGCTCTGGTTTCCTTCACAAAAGAAGCCTCAGATCAACAGAGAAATTTATCTACTTGCCACACAAAGAACATTCAGGCAGTGCTTTAACTCAAAGGTCCAATTTTTATAACCTTAACCACCTCTTAAATGTGTCAGACCATGGGGAGCTGACCCCAAACAGCAGCCAAACATCCACTTCAATGTCTTCCAATCCCCAATGGGACAGGAGAGAGAACAGGAGGAACAAAAATGAGAAAACTCATGGGTCAATAAAGACGGTTCAAAGGTGAAGGAAAGAGGGAAAACAACAAACAACACAGAAAAAAACCCCCACTCATCTCCCACAAGCTGACTGATGCCCAGTAAGTATCTCAAAAACTGTCATCTTGGAAGTCAACACCCCCATTCTCCCCACACTGTTGTTTCCTCCTATGCCTCCATTTTTTATTGCAGAATGATGTTAATGATAGAAAATAATCCTTTGGCCAATCTCTTTCATCTGTCCAGATGGGTCTTCTCCCAACCCCTTGTCCATCCCAAACCCACCATTTGGGGAGGTCTGAGCAGGAAAAAGAGAAAGCTTTGACACTGTGCAAGCACTGTTCAGCAACAGCTCAAACATGGGTGAGTGTATTATGGATGCCATTAAGCCACAAATCCAAAACACAGCACCATATGAGCTGCCGTGAAGAAACTAAACTCCATGCCAGGCAGACCAAATACACAGGTACACCACACATTTACCACAGCACCCAGACAAAAATCTGTGTTCAGAAATCTTCAAAATATGCATAGTGAGCTGTTTGTCTTTGTTCTAACCAGAAACATACACCCAAATTTTCTTGAAGGCAGTGGCCACACCAGTCCATCTCAAATGCATGTCCTACTCAAGCCCAAAATGCATGAATTTGAGAAGCCTGAGAAGGAAGTAGTTTCAAAGTATTTGCCCAGATTAGCTCAACCAGTATGCCATAAAATATGCATATACACAGAAACCCAAAGAAAGAAAAACTCAAGAAAAATCAGGAAAATAACAAGTCCTAGATAATACTAAAAGCACCAATCATAAAAAAAAAAATCAGAAGGAACATAATTAATAACAAAGCAACTCCTTTGAGGTGATAGGAGTAGATGTGTTCTGCATTAAAATGGGTATCTATGGGTGAGGAGATTGTCCTTGTGCAACCCACACTGAACCAGTGTTCTGTTTACTTTCAGGGAAGCTTTAAGGTCCAAGTCCATGCAGTTTAGTCTACACAAATTTTTGACTCAAACTAAATCAGGCTAAATAACTCACAGCATGTTCACCACAAGAAGGATACATAATTTGGAAAAACCTTGGATTTTAGGGACCAGTAAGTAGTTTAAGTACTTTACACAGTGGCATGTTGTTTCAGTCATCACTCAAACCAGAGAGATGTATCTAGCAGCCATTTACAAGTGCTACAAGACACCACTCATTAGTGGAGATGGAATTCAACAGTTCAGACTGCTAAAATCTAAAATCTCTGATCACATGCAAAAACAATTTTAAGACTTAAAATCTGTTCAAATTTGGCCATATCTTCAAATGACTAGCAAAAGACACACTGCTCTGCAATTTTAAAGCCAGGTTACAGAAGAGAGTGTTCCAGGTTCTTGATCACACTGCCCTTAAAAGACAATGGGTAAAACAATTATTTCCTGCCTTATTCTCTGAAATGGCCAAACCATTTTGAATGAAGGTTTGGAAAATATTTATTCTTAGACAGGACATTTGAGGTCATATATTTAGCAGTTAAGCAACTGCAGATGCAACCAGTGCAGGCAAATGTATCTATATAATGATGTTTTCTGCCTATTCTATAATTATAGGATGAAACTGCATGAAAGCTGGCATTTAAAAATTCTAACATCTAAAAGAATGATGCTAAAAAACATTCATTTTACACTGCTGCATGTAAAGATGTGAAAAAGAAAATAATAGATCTTCTCTCATTACCATACATGATCATCTTTGTTCAAAATGAAAATATACTACCTTACAGTAGTCTTACAGCATTTCATTACCTTTCTTACAGACCAGCAATGCTCCAACCAGACCAGAGTTAAAATCCATTGCCATGTTCTCATGAGAATAGTAAGCATAAGTAAGACAAGGAAGGTCAGCTTCTCTCGGACCAACTTCTTCTGGTATATCCCACACGTATGTGTAGAGCTGGCCTGGAAGTACAGCATCATCTCGCTTTTCTGCAGGTGATGTTCTGTCATCATACAGGGAGCCTGCCAAGAAAAGAGTCAGTAGGGTGGCATGAAGAGAAAGAGCAATTAAAGTGCCTGGAATATCTTCCTATAATCAGCTCCAAAAGCTTGGTTTGATTTGCTTATATGATACTTCAGCTTCAAAGAAGTAACTCGTGATTCCACTCACACATTGCTGAGAATAGCATGGGGAGAGTAGCTAATCCACCACCATCCTATTTCTTACAGATGAAAGATTTCCTAGAAGTATTATCACTGCCAAAAGGTTGGGCTCTTCATCAGTCTGAGTAGGGTTAGGATGGGATGAAGCTTCAGCCTCTGCTCACTGATGCTCTGCAGAGGAATGCTGACCACTCTGTCACCTTTCTAACTGTCTCTCAAAGCCACTGCATGGGCTGGCACTGCCTTGCTGCCTTAGGCCTTTTGTATACTGCACATCCACACATGGAGGCAGTAATGGCTCGTGTCTGTGCCTGCCATATCCAACAGATCTGCAATATGACAAAGTGGAGACAGAGAATTGAAATCTGAAGTGCAAAAGGAACATTAATTAATATGACAGTCAAACTGAACTGCCCATCCCTTCCAATGAGATGTTCTGATCAGCTCCATGAGATGGAGCTGCAAAACTCCTTTTGCAACCAAAACCTTGCATGAATTTGTATACTGCAGGTCAAAGCTCTGGCTCAGCACCCAGGGCAGGGCAATCCAGGAAGCATGATCAACCAAACTCACTTAGTGCTGGTACAGATATTTTAATGTCCATTTGGTCATAGCTTATAATCTGTTTTTGATGGTCTCATGAGGGTGTGGAACAAAGCACCACAAAGCTGAGCATTAAATCTTGAGTATCAGAACAGCATGATCAGCACTGTTAGGAAACTGTGCTCATGACACTCACATTGCTAGTGTTACAGTGATGAACAAGAAGGGAGCTAACAATGAAGGTGTAACCCAGGATAAACAGATATTTGTGTTACACATAGCTTCACACATTGATCTAGATCCCTGTCAACATTTCATGCAGTAGTCTACGAGCAAATGAGCAAAACATGGAGTTTCTACAGTACTTACCTTCTTCACTTTTGCTGTAAACTAGGCCTTGAGGATGAATACTGACTGGCTTGTCAGCCATATTTTTAAGGTGAACCACTAAAGTATCTCCCACTTCAGCACGCAGGGTTGGTCCCAGAAGTCCTGTAGTTATTTAAGATAAAGAAAGGAAAATATTAATAAAGCAGTATGTTCAGTGAAACAAAGAATTTTCTCCCCCTTCAAAAAATATTAGCTCTCAAAATACAAGTCTCAAAATTAATAGAGAATGTAATAACACTGCAATGAAGACTTACCCATAAAAAGGCATATGGGAACTTAAAGGATATTGTGCATATTCCAAAATGTTATAAATTTTGCATCTGGCAACTAGCACTTAAAAATCACGGGAAAATAAGGGGGAAAAAGTTATTTACAGATGCAGAAACTCTATCAAAAGTTTCATCCTGAGGTTCATTGATAATTTCTAGACATCTTTCACATACAATTTCATTAAATAATTTTAGAAGACAAACATTTTATAATTTAAGAGTTTAGAGAACGGCATTCAAACACATTATTTTAAGCAGCACTCTGAATGCCAGAAGTCACAGAACAAAGAGCTCTTTCAATTCCCAAATGTTATCCAAGTAAATAATCACTTCCACACTGCAAATTTCTTGAGGCATTTCCTGCAAAAGATTTCAAGAGCTGGTATCCCTACTCCCCATGTTGCAAAAACAAGAAATTGAAAAAGCTGCTAAGATAAGTTTTGGCTTGTAAGTCTCTTTTTTGGTCAACTATTTTGTATATATTTAGTTTCAGGCTTTAGGCTCCTTCACAAGGAATTCATAGTGTCATTGCTGCGGCCGTGCCAAATCTAAATGCATGTGGTAAATCTCATCAGATGCTGAAAACAAAGGGAACAACTTTGTATGGTGCAACTGATTTGCAGACAGCCACATCCTCTGAAAGCCCAACCTCTCTATGGCCTTTGGAAGCCTCGTTCCTGCACTGTAGAGACCTCATCCCCTGTGCCTATTTGTTTTTTGTGCAAATAATGGATGTAAAAATGCAAGTGTGCTTAGGTGGCCACTGGCTTTAAAATAAGGAACAAATCAAAATACTCAGGACATTTCATTCCTGTTTACCTGCAAATGTATTTGCTGGTTTTTCTTTTTTAAAATCCACTTCATATTCTCTGTAAGAAATTTTCTTAAATACAGGATCTGAATGTTCCAATCTGAAACCAAAAGAGTTATAAAAAATATTGAAAGGATGAAGATTCTCAGAGATGCCATTGCTCTTTGATGGAAATCTCAAAAAATTAGTCTTGGAAATATATTTAATCACTTGCACATTTTGCTGAAGGAAAGAACACAGTCCAACTCTTTGTAGTGTCTTCACTTCTCCCTCTTACTCTATTGAATTTATGATGTTCCCGAACCAGATAATGTCATATAGGGCATCTAATATCCATAGCTAGAATAGTTCACCAATGATTTTACAGGTGGTTTTTATGGGTCCTTTTGATTCTATAAAGGTATAAAGATGCCTTTGCTTTGTCTAAGACACAGAGGAAGATGTCTCAACCATATTTAACCTGGAAAGCATCTGACAAAATAGAGGAAAAGAAACCTGAATTTCTGTTTATTCAGCCCTATGGTTGAACTTTAAGACTCACCAGAAGGGTTTTAAAACAGCATTAACATCAAGCTCCTGTCACAGGAATGACTCTGAAGGCAAGAACAAAGCTGTTCTCTGACAACAACCAAGGATGTCACAGAAAGTTAGAAAATGAGAAACAAGACTAAGGGCACTTTCCACTGCAAAGTGCCCTGAGTCTTGTTACATAAACAATTTGACACCCAGGAGACCACACAATGTTTTCTTAGAAAATATTTAGGCAAGCAGAAGGAAACCAGCAAATGACACTTCTGCAATGGAAACAATGATGAGAAGAGAGCTGAAAGGGTAACAGCCCTTCACATTTATTGGTTTATTTACTATAGTATGTATGATGACTGAATCCAACAGTAATTCCACTTGCTCTCTTTGTAATGCCCTTTCAGGCACGTTTCACAGTGAGGAGCTGATGGCCTGCTCAAGCATGGGGAGGCTGAGCAGAGAGAACCCACTTCAGTGACATCCAGAGCCCATAAGGGGGAGATCTCTTTTGGAAGAGATCTCTTGTAAATTCCTCTGCACCCCTCTCTCACCACAGCAGAGTCAGGCAGAAGCAACTGGTGTTTCAATTAATTCCCCCCTCCTTAAAGTCATTGATAAAATTTTGTGTAACTCTTTAAGGGGAAAAGAATGGGATCCATAATCTTCATTGACAAGAGCTGCCCTAATGTGGCAAGGTTCATGAGAATATGCATGTAAGACTGTGGGGTAGAAGAGGAAATTTAGCAGTGCCAATTGTATAGCGAGGATGAATAAAATACCTAGCATACTAACACTTCAGAAACATCACACTACGCAAGCAGGTTGAGTTACAGAACTCCCAGGGATTGCAGCAGCAACACCGCAAGATGCACAGATAATACATATTCACTTTATGCTGAAGTGCCTTATAAATAAATAGCACTTGCATATAGCAATAAACCTCTGCAAAGATAAAACTAACACTCGGAGAAATAAGGTGTCCTTTTCTAGTCACAATTAAGGAAACAGCTTGGGAAGAATCCATTTTCCTTTCAACCTCTCAAGTTATTTATAAATAAAAGCACCAAAGTAACAGATTCTTACACTGCATATAGACATGCAGCTTCTATTGAAATCAGCACAAGTTACATACCCCAATACCTTTGGGATCCAAGCCATCAAGCCATTAACGCTTCCTCAGTAAGTGTATTTGTGTTGTGAAGTCTTCTGTTTTTCTGGTTTTTTGAGGTTAAGTTTGTGGTTTTGTTGGGCTTTGTTTGCTTGTTTGTTTTGGGTTTTAGTTAAATTTCTATAAGCTCTATAAAATTCATTAGTCCCATCTGGGATGTGACTGGCTTTAAATACTTAGGCAAAGTAACCCAATAGACATTGAATATAAAATACTGTTGGGTTATCTCAGAGAACTTCAGCTGAGGTTTTAGACAGTCTGTGAGTCTCTACTGCATGAAAACACTCCATCCACAATGTGAATTTACCCAAACAGCAGTTGATGTTTACATTGGTGCACCCAATGTAGCTTTAACTAGTAAATTCACATGTCCAGGTCAATACTTAAATGGCAGCTGGCTTCATGTCCCTACCTTTAAATCCTATTTTCTTCTGTCTTGCCAGTTTGACATTATGCTTATACCAGTTCTATTAAGTTGTCAAGGGGGTTTTAAAACCAAGGAACTTTGCTATAATTAGATCTTGGGAAAAAAAAGTTAGAAAGTCATAATCTGAACTGGAAGTATCTTTTCCATATTATCCTGAAATGCAATACATGTTCAGAAAAAAATAATCACCAAAAAAAAAAAAAAAAAAAAAAAAGTCATCCACCTATATATACATATAAAAAGCAGCAGTATAAAAAATCTTTTTAATGTAGGAGGACAAGTAATTTTAAATTAATGTTAATGTTTCATTTTTAGTAGTTCTCCTCCCTAATTTAAGCACAACTCGAAATTACATCCAAGTTCTGAAATCTGTAGCATTGCTCTTGCAGTGTTTATAATGCTAAGGACAGTAGTAGTAATAAAAATAACGTATTTTATATTCTTGATTGGTGGATGCAGGTAGGTTGGCCACTGTGCAATGCTATCTGATAAAAATAAAATCAGTATTTTCACTTAATAAAGCAGAGAAATGCTTGATCTTGCCACCTTTACTCATCAGAGTGTATACTTCACAAAAGCTCTGAACAACTCAGAAAAGTTACTAGTTCCAAAGTTCATCTGGCTCTGATTTAAGTGAAAGTGATAGCATCAAAACTGGAACATAATTATTCCTTCAGCAAATTCTAAAGTCCTAAAGTTTTTGAGATCTTACCAAACCATGGCTCAACATTGCTCAACATCCATGTACCTAAAATAAACACATTAAAAAACCCCAAGCAACCAACATTAAGCTATGCCAAAATGACAAAAGCAAGTCCTGGAGCTTATTTAACAGAAGTGCTCTGAAAGCATAAAAATAATTCTATCCACTAATGCAGCAAATAAAAAGGAGCTTTTAATATGTCACTGGCTATAGTTCAGATCATGCTGTTTAAGGTCAACCAAGTTCCTCTGAAATCAACAGACTGTGCTCCAAAGTCCTCCTGGTCTCTGCAATTCCACAAGAGATGAGAGACAAAAACCACTTGTCAGTCCCAAGGGAGGACTAATTTCATCCTTTTATCCTGTACTTTGTTACCTGGACTTTTCCTCAGGTTGTGGTTTGTAGGTCCAGCTGGTGATCTGTGCAGCTATATAGTGCTCTCTGACCTTCACAGCTCCTGCCACATGCTGCTCTGAGTCTGGCCACCATGAACCAAGCAGAAGCAAGAGAAAAATCTGCAAGCAGTGCAGAGTCATGGTAGAGATGCCTGTTAAAGCTGCTCTGGAAGACAAGGCAGAAACCACTGCTTTTATTGCTGTTGTTGCTTTTAACTTCCCCTCAGAAATGAAATAATTATGATGCAACAGGGTAACAACATTTGCTATGCTCAGGTCATTGCTCTTCACCTCCGCCTCCCCTTACTGACAGGGATCCAATAGAGATAAAAAACTGTTTAAACTATGTTCCCCTCCTCCACACCACCTCCAGCAAGAGACGTGCACCAAGGAGAAGCAGCTTCAGCACTACTAGGTGGTTGGGTCATTGTGTACTGAGGCAGCAGGATATCAGAGGCAGAAGATTATTTAGATTACTTCAATTACAGGATGTTTGACTTATGTGGTTAGGAAGAAGAGGGGCATATTTTCTATCTTCCCAGAAAACAGAAATCCAGCACATGGCTGGCACTGATGGAAATTTCCCAGGTTGATGTTACACCTCCTTAGAAATCATTCCCAGGTTAAAAGCAAAATACTGAAGGATTAAGCACAGGGAGTAGAATTGGGTGCAGAGCTACAATCTGGTTCAGATCACCATGCACTGCATGCTCAGAACAGTAAGGCAGCCACCCTTTCAAATGTTGCCAGCTTCAGCTTGATTCCCACTACACTCCCAAATACCTCAGGTAATAGGTAACCAGTGGGCTTCTCAGTGGCAGCTACCAGGTTAGACAGGAGACTTCTAACCTAGTCTTGACTAGGGTCTGTTGGCATTTATCTAACAAGAAATTATTAGGAAAATACCTTTTGATAAGATAATTACCAATGTCAACTGCAGTACCAAAAATGTTTCCCTGCTTTTGCCAGTACTAAGAAGCTGGTCAAAACAGCAAGTAAATTGTTGATCATGTTTCCCACACACTCAATTACTAGAAAAAGAAGAAATCCTGTCTATTTTTGTTGTGGCCAACATAAGAAAAAATGAAACCAATATTTTCAATAATGTTTTCCAAATATTTTAATGAAAAAATTACCTTCACCCCCAAATCAAAACAACTCCAGTCCAGAACTAGACAAAAAGGACAACATTTCATTTTGGACTACTTCAAAAGAAAACCTGATCAATTCCAGGTTTGATATATTTTTTAACAGCAGAATGGCCTAACTGGCAGCTTGGTTAATTCTATCCAAACTATATGGTACCATAAGGACTTGAAAGAACTAGGGGAGATGGCTCAAAAAAAAAAAATAATGAAGACCAACAGCTAAATGCTCCAAACATCAGGATCATTCGGTGCATAAACCTGAGAACAATTGTGCTCACTTAGACAGCACATGACTACCAACATCATGGTATATTTCTTTAAACAAATCTTCCTGTGATTCTGTTTTATGAACTAAGTGTTTGCATTAGAAATATCCATTATAAGTAGGCTTCTAAGAATTTTTCCTTTTAATAAAAAGCTAAAATATTGCAGGCTAAAAATTAATACCCAGATTATGTGATTAACACCCTGTGCTTTGTGTGTTAGCTGGGAATCATCAAAGCTGACGTCAATTGGTTACTTCCCTTTTATCCATTTTGAGGAATTTGGGAGCTGTATTTTTGAAATTTCTTAGTCAACAAATTATGCAGCATTGCTCTAAAGGTAAGAATTTCTTTCATAAGTGTGGCTGATCATACTGATAGTTTTAAAGATCAGTATCAAATTGAACTAGAGATACTTTCCACTAAGCTACATTGACTACCATTTGTTACCCTTCTTTAATCCTTTAAGAACAAGAAATCCAATACTGGCTGCTTGCTTATTTTCTCCTTACATTTTAAGTATCAATGTAAAATTGACTTGCCTGAAATCATCTGCATCAGCCTTAGTTTTTTTTCTTTTTTCTTTTATTTAAGCTATTCCATCACATCACATCACATCCTCTAGGCTTTATGAAGTTTCAGTGTTCTGAAAATCATTATTAATAATCCAAAGATATTGTTTCCTTCCACCTGATCATTAATTTCTAATATTTGTAATTATATCTTGTCTGATATTGTAAAAGTCTAATACATACATATAATTTTTTAAAAATTAGTACTGGTTGCCTTCAAGCTATTACTATTAGTCCATGAGAGGTGACTACAGAATATATTCTTTCAGGCTCGAATCTTCCAAGACAATGCAAGTTCATTGGTTATTCATACATTTAGCTGGGATCTTTTTTTCTACTTCACAACACTGCGCATGCTGCAAACTTCGTATTTTATCCTCACTGCTTACTGACATGTTCAAGCGTAAATTACAAGTCAACAACATAAAAAAATCACGTGGTCAAAAGCCATGCATGGCAGAATGTGGGTCCAGTGCAGGCTGGCAAGACAATCTCTGCAGCAGAATGAACAAGGCTATTCCCAAAATAAAGCAGTACCTTTGGGATGTACAGATTTTCTGAAATGCCAAATGAAAATGGGACATGGAAAGAGAAGCCTAAGAAATATCTTTTAACACTAAGAGCAGGTCTGTGTCTTCCAAATGGGCAAGATTATTGTCTATTCTGACACCCAGTAATTATGGTCCTGATTTCTTGTTATGCTACATGTGAAAACATACTAAGGGTATACTTGCAGTCCTGCTCTAAAAGCTGACCAGTAAAATTAACTGGCAGTGCCAGTTTTCCACCTAGGCTGGGTGAAATAGCCTAGGCTGATTCTGAGCAGTCACGAACAGATCTTTAAAAAGAGATGTAAAGTGGTGATATGTAACTTGCTGCAAACAAATTAGGATCCACAACAAACTTGTTTCTACTTCATCAAAAAAAATACCCTAAGTGCCAGCAGGCAGGCAGTCATATCCTGATGCCTGCCATCAGCTTTCACAACTGGTGACAGACAGAGAGCTAGTACAGAGAAGAAAAAGTTGTACAACAATTGTGGAATTGCTTGCTAATAATGCCCTACGAGAGATCTCTCTCATTCAAACGCACCAATCAATGCACAGTGGCCCTGCACTCGGTTTGGTGCAGGGTGAACAGGCTTCATGGGCAAACAAGAGTTAATTATTGAATCGCCAGTGAACACGTGGCTCTGAAGTAGGTAAAAGACAGAGGGGGCACTTACCGAATCTGCCAGGCACTAACGGGAACAGATGCTATCAGCCCAATATCTTCACTTCTCCAAGTGGGTGCTAAAGCCAAGAAAGGTTAACCTGTGAAACAGCTCAGTTTAGAAGCCGAAAGTAGATGTGCTATGCCAAAAAAAAACATATAAGCAGGCAAAAAAAAAAGATCCAAGAGAAACGAAGGCTTTCTTTCAGAGAACAAGTCACAAAAGAAGATGTACGTTTCTTGATGACAGCCTACACAAGAACACATTGTGTACACTGTTAAGGGTAGGCAGGCTGTGTGACTTCTGTGGTCATAAACAAACTAAAAGGCAGTAAGAATGTAGAAGAGCATTTCAGTTTGCTTTGGCACTTCAGAAGTGCTTCAGAAGACAAACAATCATGTTAATTTACACCTAAATACATTAATGTTTTAAACTTGTATTTCTCCTTAGCAGATGTCCCTTGTTAGAATTGCGGTGTTTCTCCAGTCAATGTTTACCAAAACCAATTATTTAGCAGGACCGAAAACTATTGGTACAGAGATGCTGAATTCAGTAAGGTTGCAGGAAAAACAAACAAAAAAAACATGTTTATTTTCTTAACACTGTAAAACCTAATTTCAGTGCTTTAACGAATTTGTCTAAAACTACTGGCTTGTGGTCTGAAAAAATTCATTTTAAGGAACTAACAAGAATATACAAGCTTCCTCTCTTCAAAAACTGAGTTAATGATATTTCACTTAAAATTCTGGACTGACTCAAATGAAGCCCATTTTTTTCTTCCTGCGTGTTTAATTTTTGCCAGAAAAATTTCCGTTTGACTCAATAAACAATTTTTATCCTACTCATTGTTTGTGTTCTCTGTGTTCCAGTTTGTCTTCTTTACTAAGAGATTTCTTTATTTGCCCAAGCTTACAATTGATATGCACCATGGGAGCAGCTGGCCTCATGCTAAGTCAGTCTAGCAGCACATTCATCTTGGATTTCTTTCTGTAGAGAACAACAGCGAGGATACCAGTGCAAGAGTTTGCAGCTAGGAAGATTCATATTCTTTTCATCATAAATCATCGCTGCAACTGAAACTAGACTCTTAAAAAAGAGAAAGCCTCTTATCAAGTTGTACACACCTACTTCCAACAATAAGGATATTCGGATATTCTGAATGAAATAAATTTTTCATCCTTTATACAGCTGAATTTTCTACATCCAGATATAATTTTTTCCCCCAAATAACAGACTTAAAACAGATCTTGCAAGTTACATGCATAAAAGGTTATTTTTCTCTACTAAAGCAGACAGGCATGTTTCAGAAAGAAACATGAAATCAGTAAGCTTTTAGCACAGTAAGACCCTGAATTATAAGTGTCCCTACAGACTTCACAACAGAAATTCAAAGCATTCTAGTTCTCTAGCAATGGCTCAGGCTGTTAGTTAGCAAGCTGGTTAAACCAACTCTACTTTCCCCACACCTGAAAATGCTGCCGCAGAAGGACAAAGTTGAAGTTGCCCTGTTTGTTTAACATTTATTTCCATCCTTAATTACTTGTAGTTTAGGTTTTGATCAGACTTTTAAAATACTAATACAGAACTGCACTTCCCACACTTATTGCTTTGATTTTTATCTTCCACACGAATTTTTTATTGGAAGCAAGTATTTATTGGTATTTAAAAATTTTTTACTATTATTATGCTATTTTTACATTTCATGTACATTGAAGACTAGATATCTGAAGTTTGACAATAGGCTGTGATGATCATTATTTTACATCTCTGTGAGGTTATTCCCTTTGCCTCATAACTCATTCACTCTGCCTAGTCAGTAGAATCAAAACTTCACCCACACCTTCACTGCATGCAGCACCTATAAACAAGAACATACCCAAAGTCCAAGATCAAGAAACAGAAGGCAAGCAAAAAGCCATAAGAACTGTAAGGTGTGTTGTAGGAAAGTGAGCAGAGCAGAACGCCTCAGAAGCTCTTCTGATGCCAACACAAAATTCAGGTACTTAATAATCGTGTAGGATTTGACAGAAACTTTAACTGAAGTTACTGTGTTTAAATGTTCATAGTAGTTCCTACAGCAGCAATCTTTGGTTCTGTCAGGAATTTTAAGTATTAATCCCAGAGGAAGAGGAAGATTAAGGTACAGTACAACTGCTACAAGTACACCCAGATTAAATTTGCTTGTAAGTACAGCCACTTCGATAAGCAGCCAAGCAGAACACTATGTCTTAGTCACCACAGATTGGCTTTTGCAACACCAGACAGTGCAGGGCTAAAAATGCCATAAGGTATTTAATATCATGCTGATGATGGAAGCCATTGGCAAGTTTTCTTCAGTTCTGCTGTGCCTCTTTTTCTGTTAGGTCAGAGAAAAAGGCCACCTTTGGTTCATACATTAAAATAAAAAAATTATGCCACTTGCTTTCATCAAAAGCCTGACAAGGAAGAATGTGGTATTTTTTAACTTAACTCATTGGAGACTTATGAAACTAATTTACCTTCTTACAGGAGAAGAACAGATACCTTTTAGGGAAAAGGATTTTTCAAAAGATTCTGATGCATCAAAGGAAAAAATATACATCACTACTGGTTATTTTAAGTCATACTCCCTCTCTTTGCTCCCCTATTTACTGGGTGGAGGACAGCTGCTTCCTTTGTTACCAGAAAGCCCAAAACACATTTTGAGATTAGCCTCCTAGGCAAATTCCTATGGCATGACTCAGTGGGTGTGGTTAAGTTTTTAATAGGTTTCAGCCAGCATTTCTCTTCACTTACATAGACATTGCTTAAGATATGTCCAAAAAAGAAGAAGTAACAACATATCAAGAGGAAAGTCAATTTTAGCATGAAACACACAACCTGATTATGTGTTCCCATGTAAGAGCATGGTACAAAGGACAGCTAAAACAGGGACCAGCTGTGCCAGGAGTGGGACCAATCTTCC